TCCACCTTGAGTAATACATATGCTGTTGTGCTGATGATGAGTCCCATTGCCTCTGGCCTTAACAGAAAACAGGCTAATTGATCTGTGGTAGTGCTGCTGGTGCAGTTATTGAGATTAGCTTTCTCTGACTGATCTGCCGGCCTGTTCAACTCTCTGCTACAGCGTCGTTAAAATACAGGACAGATTTTTGACAAAGATATTTCATTTAGTCAACGCTATGATTTAGAAATTTGTGCGTGCCATTAGATATGAGTGTTAAAGATACATATGATAAATTAGTATTGAAATAGGGAAGCTAATGATAATTTTAGTAATCGGTTAATCTATCAATCTAGTAATTGGATAAAAAAAAATCAGTTAACCACTTATGCCTTTTTGTACAATTAAAAACAATAAACAAATGATTCAAGAAATTGGAATGTATTGAAAATAGGGCTGCAACTAATGACTATTTTAGAAACAGATTAATCTATTTTTCTGACGATTAATCGATTAATTAGATATAAATTAAATTAACCATTTAGGCCTTTATATACAATTAGAAACACGTTAAAACTCTACATCAAATTGTGTTGAAATGAGGAATGCTGAGCATTTTTTGAAGTTACACTACTAGTTTACAAATAAGAAAATATTTGATCTTTTAACAGATTAGCATCAAATTATTGGTGACCTTGTATTTGAGAAGTACTATATAATTACACACAGATTTATACTTGAAAGCCTTTTTCTGTTAATTATGATGATTTTCCATGTGTAGCCAATAAAAACAATTATATTATTTAATCAGACCATTAAAATACAGACATTTTAACAGAAAATTGTGGGTTTAATGCTTAATACCGGCTTAAAGGTTATTTACAAACGGTACTTTTAATCCAACACGCCTCATCTTGATGATTTTCTAGATTAGTGAATGAGAGCTTTATAAACTGCTGGAGGGATTTGTTTTCTTCAGGCATGGTTGGCTCCTCGATTTCACATGATTTTCCATCTTGAATCGTAGCTGCATGTTTGCTTTTGTCTGTCAGCCGGTCGGAGGTGAAATTATGACATACTAGAGTCATCAGTGAGGGAAAAACGGCCTGCTGTCAAATTTATGTTCCTACACATGATTGAGTTATTAGAGAGCAGAAAGTTTGGGCAGTTGGGTTTTTCAAATTACTTTACTCTCACTGATTTGTTTCAGAGCTTTGTTTAGTACTTTAAGTAGGGCTGGACTATAAAGCAATAAATCGGTGGTAAAGTAAACATTTTAGAGAATTAAATGGGTAGTTTTATGAGAACTGCAAAACAAACAAAAAAAATTAAATGAGAAATGTTGAGGTTTTTTAAAAAGTTATATTTTACAGAAAAGGAAATATTAAATTTTTTTAATACGTTGGCCTTAAATTATAATTTACTAAACTTTGAAGCAAGTTTATTTTAAAGAAACTACTCAAAAGTTGATCACTAAAAGCTATTTTTCCCTCTATTTTTAGATGTTTTGGTAAAATTGTATCTTTATTCTGATGATATGACATAATTCTTGTAATTAAACAAAAATTCTTATGAACCAAAAAGCCACCTTTTGGAAATATTTTCTGTTTGTGATTTCTTTTTCAGAAAGAAGATGAAAAAAAATGTAATTAAAATCTGATCAGGTTGGAAAAAAATCTGAGATTTTACAGAAGACTTTATTCTTGATTAAGCAAAAATTCATCATACAACTCACTGAATGATCAATTGAATTTTTTTTTTAATTTAATCATTAAAATGAGTGCTGTGGTGTGAAAGTCTGTTTCCTCTCATCCTGTATTCCTTGAGAGACTACAGTATTTACATAGATAATTTGTGCTAGACATGCGGTCAGCTTCCTTGTTGCTCTACGTTTGTTTTCAGCTCTTCTCAACACTTGAGGTGTCATTTTTTAATAATCTGTAACTTCTGCAATCCCATGCTGCATTGCTCATAAACTGAGTGCTTTCTTACTTTGGTATTATTTAAATGACCCACACTGAGTGTTTTGCTGTTAAATAAGCAGAAAATACAGTCTGGAGCTTTCCAGGGGTTCCTGCTGTGGTTTGTGTTTGTAGCCTTTGGCTGCCTGGAGACATATTCCTGATTCTTGAGTCTGATGTGTATGAGTCGGTGTGTGTGTGGCAGTTTCTGATTGCGAGCATTCATCTCAAGTCTCACTTCTGTCCTGTGATGTGAGCTTTATCTGAATCCCTCAAAAAGAGCAGCGTTTTTTTCCTGCATGTGAAGAAGGTTTTTAGCAGGATGCTTTAGCTTTCAGCCTCCTGTTTGGTGCAACATCTTCACTCCAACTGTGGAAAAAGGGAGAGCTATAAATAACATGACCTACTCAACACTCACACCTTTAACAAATGCACAAAAAATTCCCCCAGCGTCTCGGTTTGTTGGTATTTCTCCTCTCAGACACACAGATTGCTTGAATCCACTGCAACCAAAAAAGAAAAGCGTTTATGATATTTTATTCTGGCATGTTAAACCAGGCATGGCCGCCCACATGTCAGCGGACACAAAGAGCAGGCGTGTTGCTGCAGATGGTAAATCAGCATGGTGTAAATTCAGCTTTTGCATGAGCTGCCCCCGCACCAACCCGCCATCCACTCATGGTGTTAAACATCACACATACTTTACATCTGAGGCGAGCTTTTCTGTCTCTTCAGTCCATGCTGCGCAAGCATGCTTCATGCTGGACTTTTTTAATGCAAAAAAAAATCTGTTTTTGTTCAATAAAAAAAAAAATGAAAGAAAATCCAACTTTTAATTTGAGTTTAAGTAAGCACTGAAAACAAATCCCTCAGGAAATATTAAATATTTTGTTTCTTACAAGCTCACTTTGAGAAAACCTTGTTTTACCAGTTGGGCAGCATTTATATCGACACACACTCTGTCAAGATTCTTCAAGGCCCACAGCATCACACATCCTCCACCGTGCTTTACATTTGACATGAGGTTCTTCCCCAGATTTCCATCCTTTTTGTTTGTTAAACTATGTGTGTGTGCTGTTGAAAACCTGGTTTTAGTCAACATTTTGAGTTAAATTGCAAATTTATGTTTATAATGGAGAAAAAAATTGTTTTCATCCTGTGCCGATAAATGTAGGAAAGTTTAACATGCAGTCTTATTTACTTTATTTTGCTTAGTTTTTATTTCAGTGTGAACCAAATATAATTTTATCTTTATCACATGAAAATCTAGGTTTTGCATCCTTTTGTGATGAATATCCAACAATTTAATGAAAAAAAATATAAAATTAAATTACTAAAAGTCACAAAGTGATGAAAGCACAAGTGAAAATTAGAGAAGAAAATATCAGCATGAGAATATTTACCAATTTCATGCTGCTTCTGGCTGAAGCAAGCAGTTTGTACCAAAACTTTCCCACAAGACAAAACTTCTGCTTTTAGACTCACTCGCACTTTTAATGTGTGTGTTAGCATCACATAAAGGCTAGGCTTTGTCTTGGTTTTATTTTTATTTTACATTTCATCTTTGGAGCATAAATTTTCTATGCAATGATTGGTCTGCTCTATTTTTGATATATTTAACTTTGCTGTTGCATTAAGGAGGCTATCCATGAAAAATATTCACTCCACAAACTTTTTCACACAACTAAAGGATTATTTTATGAAGATTTTGTGATGTAGACACACAAAGTGATGCACAACTGTGTCGTGGTGGTAAGTGATGCATGATTTTTGAGATGTTTAACTAATAAGCACACATTTTGATGTTTATTTACCCTAAGACACTTAAATGAAATCTAGTCCAACCATTCAAAATACATAGAAATACAAACTTTGAAGGAAAAGAAGAACTTGCAATTCCAAAGTTTATCAAACGGACAACAGAGAGATGCAAATTGTTTCAAATATTATAGTCACTGGCAATTTTCTGTCTAAAAATGCTGTGGAAAGGTTCAAACGCTGCCAGATTAAAATGTGAATATTAGTGCTTGTGTGGGCAGACCATTGTTGTGCTGCATGAGAATTAATGTTTCAAAAGTTTTTTTCAATTTTTGTACACAAATATGTAAAAAAAAAAAAAGTTATCAGCATGCAAATATAACAATCAGCTCTGAATAAACATGTTTAACTCAGAGGCTGAGTTCAAAGGGATGTAAGACAGTAAAAACCTCTTTATATAACTGATTATTTTTCCTACAAACTGAGGATTTGATCTCCTTCTGTCCTTAGTTTCTACTTTATTTAGAAAATAAAGACTCCAGACATGCAGGCAAATATTGGTCAGCTTAAAGCAATGATTTATTGTGAATAATATATTTTATAACACTTCTCACATAACCCATCCCCTGTGTGATTTAAGCAGATTTCTTTAAAGCTTTCATTAGGTTTCAAAACCGTTAATAAGACTCGTAGCTCATCTCTGAGACTGCGACCCCCTGCTGGGTAACAGCGCTCTAGACTTGTTTAATTGTAGCTGGGAGCTATGAGCAAAGCTGAATCACACACACACATTCACACACACATGTGCATATGAGCTCATCATTGTTGGTTTTTCCTGCAGCAATGATGAATGACAGCAGCCCTAGTGTTTATGAGCCAGCAGCCTTGCTGCAGCCCTCCTTTTAAAAAACACTCTCATTATGTTTAAAGTTTTGTAATTGCAGAGTCCTAATGCAAGTTATTCACAGAAATTGCTCTGTACTACCTTTTAATTTTTTATTTACTGTAAGTAACTTAGGAATTGTTGCATTTTTTTCACTGAAAAAGTGTTTTTTCATGTTGGAAAAAACATCAATTTATCTACATTTCCCATAAAGAATCACCACAAAAACCAGCTTAAGGATCAGACTGCTGTTGATATACTGTCTTAAAGCCCGTTGAAACACTAACAAACTGCTCCACATACTGTAGGCTTAACCTTTGTGACCTCGTGTGCTTAGTCAGGCTGTGGGCGTTTACTGCGATGCATAGCTGACTTCTGAGTTGCCCCACCTCACATGGCAGCTGTGCCTCGTCAGCTCCGCTGGGTTAAGAGCTGCTTACTGGGAGAGAAGCACTGTTAGGTTCAGAAAGATGTTTTTCATGACTGTTTGACTGGTTGTATGCAGGCAGAGGATGGAGCTGCCAAAAAGCCTTTTGCGCCCAATTAGAACTGCACAAGTTGAGTCTTAAAACTGAAAGCTCTGTGGGAATATTTTCACATCTTCTGGTTTGGTTCTTTGAACTTTTTTTTGGTTTTTTTTCACCTCTTGACTTGATGGACGTAAACATCAGCTGAGTGAGTGCGGCGCGTCGCTGCTGCTTTACAGCCGAAAGCAGTGAGCTGTGTAGAAAGTCTGAGGTGAATCAGAGGAAGTGTTGCACAATAGGAAGTTCCATGTGCTTTCTGAAAGTCTGTTCGCTCTGTAAGGACTTAGAAACTCTTTAATTAGCTCTGTATCTATGATGCAGGTTGTAAAACGTGCCACTCCTGCTAGCTTAGTGCAGAACTTCCTGGTTACATTTCCTTCTTCTGATTTTTCTGCACTTAAGTCAAAGGCAAAAAGGCATCTACTGAGTTTTATTTTTTTGGTGTTTAAAAATAAAGCAACTTTATACCTTGCTGTTTTTTTAAGACTTTTTTTTAATCTTCTTGGTTGAGTTTAAAGTTTTGGCTTCTCTTTCAGAAGCTGACCTCTGCTGGAAGGACTGTCCACCCAGGGGCCACCTCCCAGGCCAGGCTTCCCTGCTCCTGCATAATTCCTCTGCTGGTAAATCCCTCCACTCATCCCGCTTCTCCTCTTTGTCACACTGACTTTAATATCGCCTTGCAAACGTTTTTATACCCCTTACACAAATGTTTAAGGGTATGTTTTGGTGTATTTTGAGTTATTTATATATTCTGAATGTGTAGATTCTGAGTTTTCCAATGATGGAAAACACATGGAAGTCAAAAAAGTTCTTTAACTATGAGTGTCTTGCGCGCTAATGACGTTTTAGGGATGCTTATATTTTAGAAGCATAGTAAAAGACTTGAGTTGCTTTAGCAAAAACAAACATTTTATTGAATATTTTGATTTTTGGTGTCAAGATTGTGTTAGTCAGCATGGGGTGCGGTTCTGCTCATCGGCTTGCCACCATTATATTGTTTTCAGCACAGTTGCAGGCTGAGATCTGCATGCGTATCAGGCACAGTTGATAAATTTATTAATGTAAATGGTTCATAATTGGGAAGGAAAATTGCACAATCTTAGAAATGTGGAGTGTAAATCACTACATATCTAACTGATCACACCCAGTGTGGCATGCGTCCTTAAAAACTCTTAAGATGCCCTACATTTATTAAAGAAAAGTTAAGATGACCTTAAATACTTTAATCACAGGTATTAAAAAGCATTCAATCTCATATGTATAGGATTTTTCTCGGTGGAGCTTTCTATAAGGAAAAAGTTTGAGTTCTGGACGGTCATTGGTTGAGGCTACCGCTAGCCTCAACCAATGAGGCTAGCGGTAGCCTCATTGGCTACCCTCGCTAGCTAACTAACTAGCTACAAAGAGCCAAGAGTCACAAACAGACCTAAGAAATGTTCCAGTTTTGTATTTCTAAACACCCGAAATCCGTCGCTACTGCTACCACTGCTCTCATTTGGTGCAACACAAACAGGTTTAGTGGATTTCAAATATGTCAGTCAAGTTCCAGTTTTCTCTTCTGTAATGTTTTTATATACATATATAATCTTTTGCATGTGTCTGTTGTGATGAGAGTCTTAAATTTAAGTTTGTGAAACATCAGCCTTGTTCTGTTCATGCAGTAATAGTTTCTACCTGAAATAACTTGCCTGTTGTTTCCATGTCTGCATTTTATTTGTAAATGCAAATTTTAACTGATAAACTATTTCTGTACTGTTATCTTGTATAAATCTAGTTTTATTTGTTTGTGTAGCTATTTATAACCAAGCACGCAGCTCTGGCGCATCCTGATTTGAATAGACGACATTGCGTAAATACCCAATGATTGTGTGTTATTCCTGCTTTTTTCCCTCCCTATTGTCCCTAACGGCTTAGCTCATGGAGCATGTGGTGACTGTGAATGAATAGGAGATTTTGTTGAAAGTTGACCTGGGTATTATTTTAGTTTATTCTTTTTCCCAGTCGATTTCCATTCTGACTCAGAGCAGTTTAGTGTCGGAAATCGCCGTCATTTGGTTTAGCGTGATTTGCTGCAGACGACAAAGACGACACCTCGTTCATGTTCAAGTAGTTTCAAGAGAAGTCGTCACATTTGGGTGGAAAGTAGTTCTCTGTTTTGTTGTGTTTCTCCTGTTTCCCATTAAATAACTTTGGCAGCACCTCATAATGCTAGATGTTCTGATGTTTGATATAGTCTAGAGGTCAAATGTTTAAAAGATTATTGATTCTAGATTTTGATAAGAATCTTAAGTTTATAGATTGGAAAAATATATTGACTTGGTAGCCATTGATAACTCAGAGTAAACTAGTGGTGGGCGATAAGGAATTAAAGTTTTTTTTATATTTTGTGGTACTATTGAGATTTTTTGGGGTGCACAGCAATCAAACAAAATACTACTCTGGAGAAACATTCCCATTTGTAATGTAATTTAAAAATATATATTTTTATCACTGAACAGCACACAGTAACTGAATTTAATCATATTTCTAATTTATTGATATCTATTAAACATTTTGCAGTAAAACAGGACCACAAGGCTCTGTTTTTTTATGTCCAACACTTTTTACATTCTAAATTCTGTCACTGTAACAAACAAACAATTTTTTTTGGAGACGTTGCATCAATTTTCACAGCTTCGCTAATTAAACAAAGCGCTGTAGTGCTGAGTCTCTTGCTGACCCACCACTGGATTCCAGAGGATTTTATTCAGTTCACTCGGACCAAAACACAAATTTTTCTAATTGATAAAGACTTTCTGAGAAAGAAACTCACAGTATACCTACGAACTCAGGGAAATAACCTTTCGGACCATTTCACTTGTGCCTTTCATTAGAAATGGGCTCCAAGGGGTTTTGCTTTTTTTTAAAAACTGAATTTGTTTTAATATTTCATTTCTTGTTTTTGGACTTTTGTGAAATGAAGGTATTGCTGATTATTCACTGCGATTTAAAGGGGGGGTGTATTTTTCAGTATTGTACACTTTAATTGATGTATATTTGTACAACTCCCCCCAAAAATAGTAAAATGGTTCTTATGTCACAGAATGAATCCTATTATTACTTGTTTTTATTCTTTTTAAAGCATTTCTTGTTTAAAAGTCCTTAATAAATAAATACACAGACATTAACTGATAAAAATGTAACTTTAAATTACGGACTGAGACATTGTTTCGCACTAGTATGAATTAATAACTTAAACAGCAAGGTAACAGCGTCTCTCAGTTAAATTACAACCTGGCTTATCTAAAAAGCATCACCTTATCATCTAAGTTTGACGTTTTTCATGATAATCAGCACAGATGCAGACATTATGCAAGGTAGCCTTTGGTGCGTTTACAGTTATTATGGGCTTAATGTGCTGCAGTGTGGGAGTATTTGTAAAGCCAGCTGAGGAAAGGAAATGTATTGTTGACCATAAAAAGGAGTTGAGTAATGCAGGTGCTCCTGGCTTCCTGTTTCCCCTTCAAGGCCAACATGTTTATGTAGTTAGAGGGCAAAAAGGTCACAGCTGACCCAAAAGAACTGCTCTATGTTGGAGTGAAAAAAAAAAAGAAGACATTTTTCATAAATAATATCCATCGTCTGTTTTGATGCTTCCCAGTTTCCCATCAGAGCTCAGTTTTCATTTCTTCACTGAAACAGGATTCCAGCTTTTTTTCATGTCAGAACTCCAAATTTAACTTTTTACAGGTTTTATTTAATAAAACATGAACAAACATTTACTAAACATTCATGGCTGCCAAACGTTGCTGTGGTGATCAAGCTTTGAATGTGGAGCCTGGAAAAACAGATTGCAACAAAAGAAGGAGGGAAGAATGGATGAACAAATGCATGGATGAAATGATGAACGAATGGACAAATAAATGGACAAACGGATGGATGGATGGATGGATGAACAGGTGAATAAATGGATAAATAATTGGATACCTGGATAGATGACTAAATGGACTGACGGTTGAATGGATGAATAAATGAATGGTTGAGTGAATGTGTGGGTAGGTCAATGGATGAATAAATAAATGGATGGATGAATGAGTAAATAGCTTTCACAAGGATTGGTGGACTGACTGATTGGTGGTTGAAATAATTTGTGATTGGATGGATGGATGGATGGATGGATGGATGGATAGACGGATGGATGGACAAAGTGAAAGATCGGAAAAATCTGTAAATAGTTTCCCAGCCTGCGTAGAAACTCTGTCCAAACCCATCCAATCTGTTTGCATGTTTCCCCATCCTTGTTGTATTTTCCCTCTTTGTCTCCTTGGAAATTGTTACCATGACACACAGCCGCCATCTGATTGGCCAATGCCGACTCCTGGAATGCTGCAGCGTTCTGACAGCGACGCCTCAGGTGCTGCTCAGATGACACACTCAGTCAGTGTTCGCCCATGTGTGACCGAGCGTGGTGCGTGTCCGTGGCTTTATAGGCAAATATCGAGCTCAGACCCATTCACTGAGACGGCCCGGATGAATGGAGAGCTGTTTGATGGAGTGCGACACTGTGGCCGTACACACGAAGCGGATAGGTGGTGCATTATGCATGGAGGATGGAGCTTAGTTAATGCAGCAGCCTGTGTGAATAGATGCAGGCTGGATTAGGTTTTTAAGCCAAGGGGGAGGCGTTTACGGTGTCTCTTCGTCCCTGTATTTGGGTCAACACTACCCCCAGCTGGTGAAAACCTGCACTGCTTTTTCTGAGAAAAAAAATTATTCAAATAAAGTTCCAAATAAATCTATCCTCATCATTGACAGTGTAAAAAAAAAAATAGGATGGGAGATATGAAAATGAGAAAATGTAGTCATTAAATAGAAAGCATAATAAAACGTTCCACATCTTGAGTCAGCAGATTGGCTCCACACTGTAATCTGAGACGATGCGTCTGAGTGCATGTAATATGTAGAGTGGCTTGTTATGTCAGCTAAAAGCTCCTAGCGTCTCCTCACTAATCAATTATTTATGGCACTGGGGGATTGACACCGTGTAACTTCCTGTCCAGGTTTCAGGAAGAAGCTCAGTCATTCCTACAGCAGGAACACTGTTAGAGGCTGAAATACTCTTGAAAAACGGTCAAAAACGTGTTAAAATTTAATATGCAGCATGTTGTGTGATGGTTATCCTGAAATGACTCCATTTGAGCTCAGAATAGAGTTCAGGGATGATGTACCATGACTTGACCTTTAAGTAAAAGGTCAGAACAGAGTTGCTATACAAAAGCATCTTCTTTCTGTTGACAAATATTAAAAATATTTTACATACGCCAAATAAAAAAACACCTTTTTTCACTGCCTGAAGTTAAATTGAACCAATCTTCTCTTGTTTTAGGTCAGTTAGAATTACAAATATTATTTCTATTTGCTAAATACCACATTAATTATAGAATATATCAGATTCATTTACTAGTCAATTAGAAACTTTAAGCTGTTTTATTGCAGAGTCAAAACATGCGACAGAAACTGTTTTTGAAATGGAAATTATAAATGTTTTGTTTTCTGTGGGTAGATAAACAACTCATTATTATCTAGTAGCTGTAAAACCAGAGCAGAAATATGGTGACAATTTTTAGTTATTTGCTTATAT